CCTTTGTCTACTTCTTCCAAGCAGCAATAGAGTGAACCTTGTGATTTTCAAATCTTAGGAACTAAGTCACTGCTTTGATTAAAACAAATTTTGTTGAATCCCTTTCTTAATCGACTGATGATTGAGTGCTATTGCAATATCACAATCCAGTCCTGTGATTTGCTGTAAATGTAAAAACAAATTAAAACTTCGTACTAAATCAAAATGTGTGAAGTCACTCATTTGCGACAAATTGGTGCAGTCAACAGGATTCACAAATACATTCGCAACAGCCACTCTTCATTTTTGCACAGAGACAGTCACCTACCAAGGTGTTGGGCTCTCTCAGCTGATACTGGGAAGCCAGGTGACCAACTTCAGTGAAATAGCCTGGGTTTGGGTGGCCACATTTGCACTCACCTCAACACATCTCTATTACAGTGTCGACATAGAGGGATCTCTGGATCATCTATGAACACTCCCTGTTCATTCCTTCCTGGGTAAATGAAGAGTGACTCCTCTGTAGGTCAAGAAAGCAAGTAGACCGGTCTCCCCCAACATCAGAAACCTCAGCGCAGGTCTCTATGTCAAATCAAGTTGTCTCGACTGCCCTTTCTAGTCAGTGGAGAGAAAGAAGTCTCAAATGAGGTCCCTGGAGATACTGTTCCTGGTGACCAGCTAATGCTCCAGAAGGGTTCCCATGGGTCCTGTGTCACATTTCTGAGCAGCATAGCAGAGCATCTGACATACCAACATCTGAGAGATGTGAGCAAAGGAATTGATCAAATGAATTTGCTCCATCACCTTCCCAGGGCCTGTGATGTGGCTGACCAGCCTGTAGTTCCCTGAATGCTCCTTCTTGCCACGCTTGAAACTGGGTGCAACGTTTGTCTTTTTCCTACCAGCAGAGAGCTGCCTGTTTGCCCCAGCATTTCAAAGAGGATCAAGTGCAGCCTTGCAATGACACCAGCCAGCTCCCTCGGCACCCTTGGGCACATTCCCTCTGGTCCCATGGACCCGTGTGTACCCAACAGGCATAAGTGCTCCCTCAGACACAGCTTCTTCTGCCATGGGTGCAGCCTTGCTAGCAGAGATGTCTAAAGGAGACTCGAGGCCCAGGAAAGCCTGGGGCAGATCTTACCAGGGAAAGGTGATGTGAAAAAAGCTGTGAGTTCCTCAGCCATTTCCAGGTCTTGTGGCTGCATGTCCTGCCCTACCCCCTGAGCCATGAGACCACATTTTCCTCAGCTGACTCCTTGTGCTGCCAGTGAACTTGCAGAAGGTCTTGTGCTTGCTCTCCCTATTCCTTGTGAGTTCCAGCCCCAGAGGAGCTTTGGCTTTCCTGCCTCCATCCCTGTACTCCAAGGCCACGTCTCTATCTGCCACCTGCACAACCTGTTCCCTCTTCCAGCCTTGTGCAATGCCTTCTGGTCCTTGAACTCCTGAGCCAGAAGATCCCTGTTCATCGCCACCAGCCTCCTGCCAGGTCCTGATGGACTCCAGCACCGCGGGTTTTGGTGGTGTTGTCCCAGAAGATCCAAGAGGGCTCCATGGACCTTGGCTCTCCATGATCCTGCCAAGCAGATGCTGAGCCAGCTGAAATCTGCTCTCCTGTAGTCCAAGGCTGTGAGTCTGCTCTTTTTCTTTTTTCTCTGCCATGGTCAGTGCAGCCGTGGCTGCTGTCAGCATTGACATCCTCATCCAGTTCTGCTGTGTTTGTGAGTAAAAGAGTCCAGGCCTTGTCAGCCATCAAGTGCCTGTGTCAAAAAAGGGAGGGCTGAGGCAGGGGCAAGGGCCCTGTGTGGCTGCTGGCTCTGAGGACACCTCTGTGGCAGGCAGGAGGGCAGGCTGTGCTCATGGGCACCCTGCTCAGCCCTATCTCCTCTGCAGCAGACCTGACACCAAGAAGCATGTCACCTCAGAACCAGACCTGGGACTTCAATTTGGAGAGTGTTCCCCTGGAAAGAAGAGCCCAGGAGGGAGCTTATAGCCAGACTTATCATGTACCTGGAGAAGAAGATAATGAGGAACCAAGCAATTTGAAAGTGTGGAAGTGTGTAAAGACACCCAAAGAGCAGCTGTCTAAAACAAGGGGAGACAAATCCCAGGTGGATAGTTCATGGGACATGGGAATGCACCAGGAAGAGAAACTCCTTGCTGTCCACTGACACCGGGAACATCTTTCACAGTCACAGGTGGCATTCAGCTTCCCTGGTGCCAGAAACCTACCAGTAGGATCCTAGGATGATACGGTTATTGAGGTTCAGAGCAGTCCTTGGGAGGTCTGTAGAAAAACGCTCTACTCAAAGCAGGGTCAGGTATACAGTCAGGCCTGGTTTCTCAGGGCTTGGTCCATCTTGGTCTTGAAAACCTGTGAGGACAAAGAAATTCACAGTCTTTGAGGGTGGGCAATGCTTGTTCCAATGCTTGGCTGGCCTCAGGGTGAATACGGTGAAGCCCCCCCTGCCTTGCTGTGAGGTG